GGAGGTTTGCTGGGGAGGGTGAGGTGGGCCGAGGCATGGGGTTGGGGATGGGATAGGGGTGTCAAGGTAGGGGGGTGGGTTGAGGTTGGGTGCAAGGTGGTAGGTTGGGGTCTTGGGCCCGGGGTGGCGATGGTGTGCATTGGGGGTGGCAGTAAGGATGAAAAAGGTTGAAAGAGAGTTTTGAAAAATATTTTTCCTCCTCATAGTATATAGTATGCAAGTTTTTCCTCATTTCATTAGGAAAATGTTTTCGTTCCTACCAAACAAATCCATAAAGGAATAAAGAAACCAACATAGGACACCTGCAGTTCAAGACATTATCATACCTGGAGCAATATAACCAATAGTTCCCAGGGTCTTCGTTTGAGCATTGTTTCCTTCTTGTGCCAACATTTTTGCAATCCCAAAATCTGCCACATGGGCAGTCAAATCCTGATCAAGAAGCACGTTAGCCGGCTTTAGATCGCAGTGCACAATCGACACTGTATAATCATGATGAAGATACTCTACGGCCAGTGCTACGTCGATCATTATATTGAGTCTTTCAACAAGGCTCAAACAATTTCTATCGGAGTATAACATTTTATCTAAGCTTCCATTAGGCATATACTCCAGTACCATCGCCACGAAATCCATATTTGAGCAAGTTGATACAATCTGGACCAAGTTCCTGTGTCTTACATTGCTCAAAATTTCACATTCTGAATCAAAATTTTTTAAAGCCCCTTGCCATTGCATATCAAAAACTTTGATTGCAAAGACATTATCACCAGACAACTTACCCTTGTATACTGTACCAGAACTTCCACTTCCCACTAGGTTGGACTGACTGAAGTTTTCAGTAGCTTGGAGAAGCTCATAATAACTGATCCTCTGATGACCCATTCTGAATGAGGAATCAGTTCCATTTTTGCTCTTCACATGCTTTTTCCTTGACCAAATCATCCATGTGAAAAACAAAGCGACCAATATCAGAAATACTGCAGCAGCAGATACTGTTGTTCCAAGGATAAGAGACTTTTTCCTTGTTGTCGTGCTGCTTCGAGCTGGACACAAAGGAATATGTAAGTCAGGTGCTCCACAAAGTCTTGGATTTCCCATGAAAAACTGGCAACTGATATTTGCAAATACCCCTTTCTTTGGAACTTCTCCTTGCAAGTTGTTGAAAGAAACATTGAGATACTTGAGATCTCGCAATAGCTCGAGAGGTTTGGGAATCATACCAGATAGAGCATTACTAGACAAATCCAAATACTCAAGAACAATTAGATTGCTAAATGTATTTGGCATGGGACCTTGAAATGCATTTCTTGACATATCTAGTGAAACTAGATTTTGAAGTGACCCTATGGAATTGGGTATTTCACCAAAAAACTTATTAAAAGAGAGGTCCATGATGTTCACTGCTTTCAGATTTCCCACATCAGAAGGTAAGAAACCATGCAGCAGGTTTTTGGACAAGTTCAGACCGTCAAGTTTTATTAATCTCCAAAAACTTGAAGGTAAGTTGGAGTTGAAATTGTTGGCAGCAATTGACATTTCCCTTAATTCAGTCAGATTACCAATACATGAAGGTATTGATCCTGATAGTCTGTTTTCTCCCAAGTGCAAAACACCTAATCTTTGTATGCTGCACAGTTCAGCTGGAAAAGGCCCTTCTAATTTATTTCCAGTAAGATACAGCCTTTCCAGATTTTGCAAGCCAATAAAGAAGGGAACCACATTACCGACAATGTTATTATTTTCCAATCCCAGGTAAATCAAGCTACTTAAGTTTCCAAGGCTTATTGGAATACTGCCTCTAATCCCACAATTCGCTGCAGGAAGGACCTTCATTTTGCTTGATAAATTTCCTATTGATTCCGGAAACATTCCATTCAAAGGATTAGATTCAAGAATTAGGTACTCGAGATTCCAGCAAGTTACCATTGAATTCAGGAAGTCAAGATATGTGGCTCCAGGCTTGTTTACCAATAAATTGTTTTGCAGATTAAGATTCTTAAGGTGCACCAGGTTACCTAACATCATGGGAATTTGTCCACTAAAACTATTGTTAGCAACTTCAAGATACACAAGCTTTGAAGCATTGCAAATTGCAGATGGTAAATCTCCACTAAATTGGTTGTGTGAAAGGAAAATCTCCTGCAAATTAGGTATCCAGGTACCAAGATCATGAGGAACATGTCCATTCAAGTAGTTATGCCTGGCTTTGAGGATTTCAAGCGACGAAATATTGAACAAGCTGGACGGAATGGCACCAGAAATTCGATTATATTCAAATTCAAACCAGACCAGTTCATGCAACTTACCAAACTCACTTGGAATATTTCCTTCCAAATCATTTTCAGTTAACCAGAGATCAGTAAGCTTTGATGCATTAGATAGAGAAACAGGGATTTTCCCAGTTATCCTATTGCTGTCCAGAAAAAGACGCTCAAGGATAGGAAGATATTTACCCAAATCACTTATAAGTTCTCCTGAGAAGGCATTTATGGACAAATCTACAATTTGCAATCTTGAAATGTTGAAAATTGAAGCAGGTATTGAACCAGTGAATCTATTGCCACGAAAGGAAAGGAGCTTCAAATTGGAAAGATCACCTAGTTCAGATGGTATTTCACCCTTTAAATCATCATTTTCATGTAGATAAAAGTATTCCAGCTTTGATAAGTTTCCTAATAAAGATGGAATCTTGCCTGTGAGGTTATTGTTGTTGAGACGCAAAAACCTGAGTTGGTTTAAAAGGCCAAGTTCCTGGGGTATGCTTCCTTTGATCATATTATCTGATAAATGAAGTTCTTGCAGTAAGTGACAACGGCTTATGTTTGGAGGAATGGTTCCTTGAAGAGAATTCCCGGTCAGATTCAAAAGTCTCAGTTGTTGCAAGAAGCCCAATTCACTTGGCAAATTGCCGTTCAAGTCATTGCTACTCAGATCAAGAACAGCAAGTTGAGTCAAGTTGCCAATGTCTGAAACAATTTCGCCTTGAATGGCCAAATTAGGAAGTTGCAAAGCTACAACTCTCTGGTTCAAGCATGAAACTCCGTACCAGCTGCAGAAGTGTGTTTTTGAGCTCCATGTTTTGGACACAATGTTGTGAGGTTCCAATAAAAGGCTAGACTTGAACGCTAGTAAAGCAGCATAATCAGTGAAGTTGGCTTGTTTAGCTAAACAAGCTGGAGAAAACAAGACTAGAAGTGCAAGAAACTCAACTAGAGTGTTCATGATTAGTGATTTTGGATTCGTACTGTCACTGAGAGAAGGACTGGTGGTTGGAAGAATTCAACTCCTTTTACTTTTCTTATAAGGAAGAATTTAATTTCAATGGATCTATTCAACCACAAAAGGTAGCTATGAGGCGAGAATTGTTCAAAATCGTATTATGACGCTAAGCAATGTGGAATTCTAAAACTTTCCTACACGATCGCTCAGACATTTGGAGCGTTACTTAACGCCGTGTTAAGAAAAGTAGACTGTTGGACCTAACTGGATCATAAAGACTAACTCATGAGATAAGGATTGTCTAAAACTATATAAAGAGAATACAATTCATACGCTCGTGACTCTAACAGTATAGGGAAAGTTTTTTCGAAGCACCATGAAATCAGATTTTTCTTAATTCTTGCACCCTATAAGAACTTCTAGTTAACTTTAAAATAGAGTTGTTTCTTTATGCTTAGTGGTAATCGTGTTTATAATGCCCAATCCACTATTATGTTTTAGTGGGATGGCCATATCAATATATTATATAACATCAAAGTGAAACGAAGGTTAAAGAAAAGGGAAGATCAAGATTAATGGCCATATAATAAGCTATTTTGTGCAAGCATATGTGCTAAAGTTGTGCCACACTCACACAAATAGGTACTAAGAAATTCATGGTGAGGTTTTTGTTATTTAAGATGAAATAGTCTTAAAATGAGGGTGAATGGGAAATGGAGGGA